CCAGGCAAACAAGGTCTTTCAGGGGCAGTAAACAAGTTTTATTGTGCAGGATGTCCCTCAAGAACCTCATCCGAGTATGCTTCGTATTACGAATCTGGTAGAACCCAAGGATATAGCCCTTATGCACAAAAAACAGCCACTTCGGAGACCGCAGAAACGGTTTCAAAGGGCAGTGGCAGTCAACAAGCAGTTGTAGAGGAAAGAATTAACAGCGCCTCTTACAGTACAGGTTCACAATCTACAGGTCCAAGTGAGATCGTGTATCACTCATCCACTGATGAAACTGTTCCGGGTGATAAACCTAAAACAACGGTGGAAAGTGCTTTAAAGTCATCGGCAACTGAAACAATTGAAAAAACTGTTGTTTCTAATGAGACAGTACAAGTGGGTAATGCATCACTGATCGAGTCAAATAATGAAACAGACGTCTCTACGCAAACGGAGGCCAGCAATGTGTCTTCAACTGCCACTGGTGAAACAATAAACACTTCCATACAGGGGACTGCTGAGGCTGGCAGCAGCAGTGTTCAAATACTAATGTCCAACACGTCTCAAGATATAACTACTGCAGCAAATGCTGAACTTACTCTTTCAAATGTTTCGGATGCTACGTTGGCAAACGACTCCAGCAAAAGCGTTGAAACAGTTTCGGGAGCAAGCGGTAATGCAACTGCCAGTTTGATTGATTCTCCGAGCAACAACACCGAAGAAACCTTCTTAAACCAAACTGCATCAAATATTGCTGTTGAAGAGCGTGCAAATATTACTGCATTAGATGGTTCTGAGAAATCAGTTGAGCCTAAAAACATCATGACCAAAGAAGAAAATCTTTCATCTGCTAACGTATCTGTTGAAGACGACGGTACAATTATAACAAGGCTCGGTACAAGCAGACGAAAGCTACTGTATTAGTCAATCTGTTGCCTTTCTTAAAGGTGGAAATTCATAAGCACGTTACAATTGTGTGCATTTTTATGTTTATATAGCAGTGCTTCTTCACGACTAAAAACGATTTACTGATCATTGTAGAAAGTATTCTTTACTTTGTCATTTGAAGGTATCAATTATAATCATTTATTTAATCATAGGCAGAACATAAAGTCATTACGCGGAGATGCGAAAATCTAGAAATTTTTTAAATTTCTTTGAACTTTAACCAAGCCACAGTAATTTTTGATTAAACTAGACAAAAAAATTACCGTGTATTTTTCTTTATTGTAACAATGACTTTCAACTTTTGAAAGATTCTATGGAAAAAAAAAACTACAGCGTTTCCCACTGATAGCTCGTGCTGAAGAATTTGAGCGAAATAAAAGTAATTGATTGTTCTAAGCAGCTAATTATGTTAAATTAGTCACCTTCTAAAAACCACTACTTTCTAAGCTATTCAGGTCGTACATTTAAAACAGTAAAATTTATTTAGCTTCTGGAATAACTTTATTTTTGAAGTGAAGTGTTTGGCTGAAAAGGTTTTGTTGAATGCTGAATGATGCGCAGCTGCCAATCATGATATAGAAATAACTGTTAAGAAGTTTTGTTGCTAAATTAGTAAATGTAGAGGTCAAAAGTTTTGTCTTCGTTCTACAAAGCTTAATTTTCATTTCTTTCAAAAGTACAGTTCAACAGAACTAATTTTTTCACCTCTTCATCTACAAAACACTCTCCATAACAATGTAGCTTCGTTTGAAATTGAGGGTAATCTGACCATCAAATGTTATATGCAGGTTGTGACAAAACTAAAAAATAAAACTGTTTGATTTCACTCCCTCTACACGAAAAGATTTATTTTGGACTTTCTAAACGAAGACTTCGATTTTATTCAATTTATCAATACTAGAAATCGTTTGTGTCTGTAAATTTAGCAAAACAGGACGGAAAAACTGAAATGACAAACGATAACTTCTCTTTATTTCAGTGAAAAAGACCTGTGTTAAAGCCTGCTTCAAAAAAACCAGTAATCAAAGCTGTTTTTGATACAAAATGGTATGGCAGTAAGGAATTTTAAGTGAAGAAAATCCTTAATAATTTTGAGCATACCGTGAATTACAAAACAAGTTGAAAGAAAAGTGCACAAGAAACTTGTCTTTGTAAAGTAGAATTTGTTTTGCATACAAAATAGAAACATTTAAAGGACAACATATATTTGTTTCTGTTGTCAACCAGCAAAATTCTTAGACAAGTTATGTGAAAGGAACTGTTTTGCAAGACGACACTTTATTCGAAAAAAAAAAAAAAGTAACGAGAGAGCAAAAAAGCAAGGAACAAGTTATCGCCTTCGCATGGTCTTTTTCAAAGCACTGAGATTTACAAAAAGACTATTTAAGAAATTATTCTTTGCAAATTTTAATGCTTTTAATTTGTTCATTCTGCTTACTTCACTTTATTTTTAGTAATGTGTTTGAAATTACTTAAAATTTTCATGAAGAGACGCGAGTATCTAGTTGCAAAGCAAAAACAAACGTTTAAGTGGAGTTAACCTGACTTTTGTGAAATAATAAACCCTGTCTTTAATGTAGACTAAATCAAAATAAGCTGTCGCGCAAATTCATCACGGTTGCTTAAAAGTATCTTTTCATTAAGTCAAATCGAATCCACTGTTGTGAGCGGCGCATGTTAACAGCTATTGATAAAATTCTATTTCTGAATTCTGGAACAGTACCGAATTTGATCAAATCCAATTTTTTTTTTGCATGTTATAATGATGAAAAGGTACAAATTCATAAAAGCGACTTCAGATTTTGGAAAATGGAAAATTGAAAAAAATTGAGCTTAAAGTGAAAAATTTGGTGAAGGAGATCTGTCACAGAGACGTGCTTTGGTTAAAATACACTAATATACAAAACCATAACATTTTGATTGGTGTCAAAATAATAGAAGAGTCACTTCAAAAAGCAATAAAAAATTGCATGGTGAAACCAGCTTTAGAAAATACTGTAAAATTCAGCTTCATCAGGACTTTTCTTGTTTTTGAACTTTTTGTAAATCCAAAGTTTTTTCTAAGCCTGCAGTCTCAGAATATCAAAGAATAAGTGTAGGTTTGTATAGGAATGCTCATAAAAAACAAAGAAATTTTTCAAAGAAAACTTTTATTGTTATTTGCAAGTTTTATCTGGCACTACCCCTCGTTTTTTCATTTTACTGTTATTGCTTTATGAGCACTTACTTATTTGCTGAACCTTTTAAAGTTTTCTTAGCTACTCCAACCTAAATAGGCAGACTGTACTGTAGTAAGTTTCTTTCTATGCGTTTCGTACAATGTTATATAACTGTTTGTGACAGAATCAGTTGCTCAGTCAAAAATTTGTCATTAGACAACTTATTTGCATAGAACCTAACAATAGGTTTCCCAAAGATGAGTTTAACACAAAAGTTACAGATTCTGCTCCAAAATATCCCCTCGACACATGCAGCATTGTAAGAACTGCTATCACTACTAATTTAACTGACTTATAAATTTAAAAAATAGTAAAATCATTCTTTATGACAAAAAATTTTAAGAACTGTATAAATTGCTATAAACCCTACAATCATTGAGAACCTCAATTTTTTAAAATTTAAAATTATTACTAGACTTTGGTTTAAGCAACTTTCTTTTACTTACAACCTCAAAGCTCTAAAACTCAGCTGTCAGACAAAAATTTACAGTAGATTTTGCGGTATAAAATTTCAGCGAGTCATCTTTAATGATAACTAAGCTTCATGTAATTTTAGGCAAAGATATGCTATTGTTATTTACTTCCTGAGAATCATGCATTTTAATATACGAAATTTTGTGCACGGCCGTGCGGTAAACGAAGAACCGTTACCGAGGCTTCTTCTTCTAAAAGCCAAAAAACATCGAAATTATTGAGCGTGTAATCATCATTGCATTTCCACTCTTCTAACTTCTTCACCCCTTATTACCGCAGTTTTTTTTTTTTTTTTTTTTTTGCTTTTGAACATTTGCGGGCTACTTCATTAAACTGTTTAATTTGGCTGAAAATTTGATATGCCATTGTCAAGCTGACAAAATTTTTGCTTGAGAAGGTCTTTCGAACATTTTATTAAATAATGAAATTTTTAAATTTAGTATTTTAGCTTTACTGCATGGTACCCTGAAAGGAACTTAGACTGATCTCTTTCATTCTTAAGATGGAAGCCATTCGTGACAAGTTGCGGAAGATTGTTTCCAAAAGCTCAAATAATTCTTCACCAGAATCACCATTCTGTAAGTCTGTCTTCGCTTCTCAGTGTTATCTAAGCACTATAATATATTAATCATTTTTCATTTTAATAACACTATCAACAGCTGTACTCTTTTGTAAACCAGCAGTGAAATTCTTCTAAATTAAGTGGCTCTACATTTTTGTAATTGTTAGTTCACTGCATTTATAAACTTCAATGTAAACAGAGTAAGAATTCTCGGAATTACCAAGAACAGCTTGGATTGATAAAATTGAATTTAATTGGAACATCTGTCTTAAATGCTTTATTTTATAGTTTGTTTGAATGTCCCTGACAGTAACAACAAAGTATTAAAAAAAATTTTCTCAAATTTGCAGCAACTGTAGGATCTCCTCCAAAAGTTGAAAGGCAAGGAGAAAAAGAGACTATAGATGCTATTATTTCTTCAGAAGCTGACTATGATTCAAGTTTGAAACAGATAGTTCAGGTACATTGCAAATTATTTAAAGGTTTTTAAACGTGCAGTCTTTTTTCGACGAAATCTTTTTTCATTCTTTTTGCTTGGTTTCTCTGTTTGATGCTAAACTGGTTGGGATTACTGGTTTAGAAGGAACATAATAATCTACCTATCTTAAAATCTGTAGCGTAATTATCAGCAACAAAGATCATGTCAATCACTGTTCAAATTTTTTCTAATTGACAGGATCTGCTCCCAATGGTACATGGATCTCAACTCTTTACTGCTAGCGATACTGTGCTAATATTTGGGAATATCGAGATGATATCTGATTTTCATCACAACCGATTTGGGCCAGAATTGTACCGACGTTTACGGTCTCTGTTTCTGATTATTTTCAATATAGCAAATTTACAAAATATTTTACTTTTTATGTAAGCAAAAATGACTTACACTTGAAAAGTTGTTTTTACCGAGCAAAACTAAAACACACTAACTTAAAGATTCAAAATTAATTTTTTGACAATCATAAAAAAAACACTTCTGTCTTCCATGTCATGCATTTTTCAATAAAATTTTTTTTAGAAATAAAATTTTTCAATTTTCTGGATTTTCTTCTGCTTTTTCATACGCAGCGACAGGCTTAATACATATTAGTACATGTTTTGTAAAAACTAATAATTTGCAATAGCTTTCGGCAACGTCAGAATATGAAGGAGCACAGTTTTACAGCTTTGGATAACTTTTTCGCTTCTTTTGTTTTTCAAAAATCACGAATAGATACTTTAAAATGCAATGTTTTTGTAAAAAAGAAGTTTTACAAAACTTTTTTTTCTTTCTTTACACCTAGACTTTTGTATTCAACAAAAGTTTTGCATAAAACAGTTTCATCTAAAGTGATAAAATTACGACGATTAATTTCTAGACTTCTGCATGATTTATACTTTTACTACTTCACTCGAAAACATTTAGTAAAACTGTTGTTTTTTTTACAGTTATTTCAATAGCGATAAAATGAAAAAAATTGCTGTTACCGGAAACTTCGAAAAATTATTAGAATGAAGTAGTTAATTTTGTAGTGCAGCTTTATTTTGACAGGCTTAAGTGGTAAAAAATAAAATCCTGTAAAATACTTTGTATCTGCAAACTGTTACACCTACTTTCTGTTATTTTGAATGAATCTCCTCCATATTTAGTAGCAGAGAAAAACCTGCAGCTTCTTTACTGCTGTCTCATACATCGCGATTTGCTCAAGCTTTCGTTGACTACAGTAACCCGTTTGATTCATATTTTACATACATACAGAACCGGCCAAAATCTGAAGCATTTATTCTTTCACACGCTGAAGAAATGAATACTTTGTTAAGTAGTATTCAGAAGGCAAGAAAATTTACGTATAATCTTTCTGCAAACTGAACAAATCACCTGTTGCTGCAAAAAATCTTTTGATATCCAAACAACCATTTCTTATTGTTTAGCAGGAAAAGTCTAGTTGATAAAAACCTACCTAAATTTATCTTCTCAGTACTGAGTAACTATAAAGTTTTTTAAAATACAAATTTCGTCTAAGATCGCAAATAAAGATGTTTGATTCAGACAGTTGACGAATTTCGAATTTTGCTGAATCTACCAGCGAAACGTCTCGACGAATATCAGGATGCGATAGAAAATTTGATCAATGTTACCACTGACGATGTGCATTAAATACCTGCTTACAAATTTTGTTTTACTTTCGAGTAGTTCTAAGAAAATCGTAAACTTAATTTTACCGCCTTTGAAAGTTATTAATGTTTAGAAGCTCTTTTAGAACGAGTTTTGCTGACTTTCCTGATAGAGCAAAGCATTATTGTTTTATTTTGAAAATGCTACAAACTTTCTTCCAAGCACAATTTAGTGCTGTTTTAGAAAGCTATCAAACACTTGCAAAAAGCGTTAGATGTGGTCAGTCGTCAGTTTCGGTATGGTGAAGCACTGTGGTCACTTGAAAAAATATCAAACGGAGGAATTAATTTGAAGTTAGTCAGTTCTTCAACGTTTCTGTTGATTTCAAGAGCTTAGTGCCATTTTTTTCAAAGCTATAAGCAAGCATAATTTAAGCTTATAACTCAGAAAACAAAAGTGGTTTTTTGGGAAATAATCAAGGTTGAGTATTGACAACCGGTTATGAAAAGTAACAAGTCAATGAAAAGTTTACATAAGAGAAAAAAAAGAAAGAATCACTTTTGAAAATTAATTATTTAGGCCAATACTTTAGAGATCAGTTGCTATTTCGAATTGACGACATGAAGGTAAAAAAAGAGTATCATTTAACTGGACGACTGAAGCCTCGATGCGTTTTTTTATTCACTAAATGTCTGATAATTACAAAACGTATGCCTCGCCAAAAAGATGCTAAAGCTGTAAGAAAAGGTGGTGAATTTGGAGAACTGAGATTCAAAGGAGTTATAGATGTTGGTTCTAAATAGCTAAATTTAATTTTGATCTAATCCTCTAGACGTGGCGTCATCTCCTTTATTTGTCAAAATTTTCAAATTATAAGTACTTTATTCAGTTTCGACGACCGGAAATGTGTGGAGTATCTGGCCTAATTCAAAATGAGCCCTTATTTAAGATCTTTTATCAGTGTAACGAATACCTGGCTGATGTTTATGCTTTCACGGTTAATTCACTCATTTTCTTACACGCGCAGCGATTTAAAAGCTTCTCAGCAAAAATACATTTCAAAGGCCTATCCAATCTTTCAGTTTCATAACGCCTATAAAATGCCATTGAAAAGAGAAATTTTGTAATTCCTTAACTTGTTAAGTAAAAATACTAGAAAATCAAACTAATTTATCAGATGTGTCGGGGGTTTTTCTTTTTTGCAGGCAGACAACATGGAGACCCGCAATACCTGGGTAAAAGATATATGTGAAGTGCTTGGCTTCCGTGCGCAACTCCAGGTTAATTTCAGAGAAATTTACTTGAACATTAATTCCATAAACAGGCAAGTTCTTTGTTATTCAGACATCGTTGTGAGTTATAAAGTTGCGGAAAAATTTGTTGTACATAATTTTAATCATCTGCACTTCTTGTGTTTTGAAGAATAAGAAACTGAAACTTTTTAGGTGAGACCTGGAGAATTGGGAACAAGTTTTTTAAGATCTCTTTCATTAGGACCACGAAAGTCCAGACAAAGTTTTGCCGAGAAAGCCGGTATACATTTGTTTTATGTAACAGCTAAATACAAATCAAATTTGTTTCATTTAGGTGCTATTAAACCTAAAATAAACAATTTAGTTTTCAAGAGAGAACTTCGAGATTGTAATGACCTGACTAGCGCGAGGGAGCAATAATGCTCAATTAAATGACAAAATCTCAAGAAATTTGAGCTGTCTTCAAGTAGAAGATATTTTAGAAGCACTGAAGAGAGATCGACTTATAAGACACTCGTGGCCAAAACATATCCTAGCAGAAGTTCAAGAGGCGAAAGAGTTGAATGAAATCAAACGTCGGAGACATTATAGTATGCAAGGACAAGCCAATGACGAAGAATTTCCAGCAGGGTAGAAAGATTCCGCACAATATAAAGATATGACAAATGCGTGAAAAGGAGCATTGCAATAATAACTTAAACCGTGAAGTTGTCATAATACTTATAATGTAAAAAACTTTTTAATGCAGAGAAATTTGTTATATCAGATTAACAAATAGAGTTTTATCCTAATTTTACTATTTCGTTTCCCGCAAAGTACATTCATCTACACATATATCTAATCTGTAAGACTGCAAATTCTAAAACAGTTGTTTCCAAGAAAAAAAAAAAATCCAGTGATGGTACAGCTTCTTCGGGACTAAGTATGTATAAAAAATCTTTTATATTTTCATAAATCTGCATATTTATACTTTTCCAAAGCTACAGCTAGAAAAATCCAATGTTGCATCTAAAAGAACAGGCAGAAACAGCAGCTCCAAAAATATTTCGTCCGCGTACAGATGACAAAAATAAAATTAGAATAGTGCTGGAAGAAAACCGGTCCATGAATCGTGCCTTTGACCACAGCAAAACGAGTGACTAAAAATTTGCTTGATATTTTATCCGGCTTCAAATTTCAAACGAAAAACTGAACTATACAGCTTTGCAAATCGTATCTGCACTTAATAGCCTGGCTGTTCTTCCAGGGGTTGCCTCTGGCATCGTTTGAAGAAATTTTTAAATATTTTTACTAAATTATCATTCTTGGCTTCAAAAGCTACAAGTCCCATAACTTGACAATTCATTTCTCCAAAACGTAATAGACCTTTTAGTTACAGTAAGGAAAAATTTTTAAAAATGATGTAAGCATAAAACTAATAACCAGAGCAACCGAAGCGATCGCATTCCATGTAAACCATCTCAACAATGGATCACACGAGTAATGATAAAAAGTGGAATGAGAGGTGAAAATAAAGTTAAAAGAAGCGTTACATAGCCATAAAGCTTTAAATTAAGAGCCTACAAAGATTTCAAAAGAAGTTTTTGAGGAATTTTAAACATTCTATAAAAAATAGAAATTTTGGTATGGGTAGCATACGGAACGATGGCTTTTTTCACAGCCATAAAACCTATAATGGGAAATGGAGGTACTTTGAAGAAATTTACGCTGATGATAAGAACTGGGTATTACCGCGGCAACAAATATAACGGTTCTCTTTTCATAATTTCTAATTAGAATTTTGCACTTCCTAGACGCATTTTTCCACTTTTCGGTTCAGACTTTTTGATCTTGCTTCTTAACTGTACAAATGCAAAGTGTACGGTTCTTAAAAGTGGTTTATTACCTGTCAAAAAATTCTTCTGTGAAAATAAGAGACTTAAAATGTTTGCGAACATAGCAGTTACCGGAAGAAAGAAGATATTGTTTAGAAAGAAAACTGCTTAAAAACGGAGGAAAAGGCTAATTCACATTGAAATTTGTAGGAGAAAGTTTGTTACAAACTAACCATCAACATCAAAACCGCTGTAACCATGCGGTAAGCAAGAATCTATCTCTACAGTATGCTTAAATGTATTCTAAAGTGATAACAACACAATAAAGTAATGAGAAATTCGAATTGCCGCTTTTGGCATCGCGCCAATTTTATGTGCTCACTGTGGCAGCTTTAAGTGAAGCGATTCTGATACGTAACAGAAACAGATACAAACGCCTGAATGCCTTAAACTTGCAGTTTATTGTTTGACTGCTGTCGTTACCACACTGAATGATTGTCTTTTAAATCACCCTGTGTGTTGTATTAATTTCTTTCCCCATTTAACTGTATAACTTAAACAGGAATTATTGTCTGTATAAATCCAAAAAATTTGTACAGGCGTTCGTTTTGTTGTTTTTTTCATAGTCCGGGGAATTTGAAGGATGACATTTAATATTTTGGTAACGAGATAATCAGATGATGCTTAGTTATGATGAAACGCTTATAAAAATATTTCATTAGGGGCTGTACATAATATAGTTGTTTTATTTTGTCCAATAATCTATAATACTTTCATCCTGTGAAATGGTATGCAGATGGCTTTCCTGCACCCCGCTTTGATTGAATCACGACTACCGCCGTTGCTTGGAACTGTGCTTCCATACTGTATTTTTTCTTCTTTTTTTTTCGTTTTGTTCACTTATTGCGTATTCAGATGGCCTATCGATCAAGAGAGCAGGAAACACCAAAGCCGGCCTTGAGTGCTGCTGACCGCTCTGCGAGATCAGTGTTTGGTAATATTGCGTCTGTATTATTTGCTTT